CTGGGTGGGTGGGCGGGCGGGCATGCTGCCAAGCCCCTCAAGTTGCTCCCACCCTGCTGTGCCGAGCAGCCTCAGCGTGCTGCATGTCACTGGTCTGTACCCCGTCCTGTTGGTCACTAAGCTCTGCACCATACCTGCCTGTCTTTCAGGACCCCCCCAGTTTCACTGTGCGCCCCAAGGAGGAATACTTCCAAGAGGTGGGCCGGGAGCTAGTGGTCCCCTGTGCTGCCCACGGGGATCCTCCCCCAACTGTCACCTGGCTGAAGGTAGGACCTACTGCTCCAGCACACCAGCTGAGCCTTCCTAGGAGGTGGATGCTGCTTCTGACCTCTGGGGCATCACTCAAGGGCAGTCTCCATGTCTGTGTCAGATGAGGACACATAGGGTTACATCTCTTGCTTCCTGCAGGAGAAGGGGCTCAGGGTTCTTTACTTTGTATTGCCCTCTGAGAAACCAGGGCAACATTCTGCCCCTTGGCTCCTAAACCAGCTTGGGGGGAATGAACATCTTGACTGTCCCAGCCCTGGGCAGAGTAGGTGGTCACCCAACATTGATGTGTCCATGCCTTGCTGTGCAGGTGGGCAGCGTGGGGAAGACCGGCGCCCAGGTGGATGCAAACAGCAGCCTTGTCTTCCGCCCGCTTGTCAAGGAGCAGCATGGGGTCTGGGAGTGCACGGCCACCAACCAGGTGGCCAGTGTCAGCACTACCACCTCTGTCCATGTCCTGGGTGAGTTGCTGATAACACTGTGGGTGCTGGGCTGCCCTGGGGTGGACCACACCAGCCTCCCTATGCTGGAATGGGTGGAAATGTCCCTGTATGGCTGCTATGAGAGATCTCTCTGCTTCCCCTCCCACCCAGGTACCAGTCCTCATGCTGTCACCAATGTCTCTGTGCTCCCACTCCTGCTGGCAGCTAACATCTCCTGGGAGCCAGGGTTTGATGGGGGTTACTTCCAGAGGTTCAGCGTCTGGTACACACCACTGTGAGTCCCTGTGGGCAGGGTCTGGTGTCCTGCACCCCCTCTGCCTCACCTGGGCCCCTTGGCACTGGACTCATGGGTCCCACCTCCCTCAGGGTGAAGCATCTGCCCCGGGCCCATCATGACTGGGTGTCACTCTCTGTGCCAGTGGGGGCTCAGCACCTCTTAGTGGAGAATCTGCAGCCAGACATGAGCTACCAGTTCAGTGTCCTGGCCCAGAACAAGTTGGGCAGTGGCCCCTTCAGCCAGATCGTGACCTCTGTGCCCAGAGGTAAGAGGGGGGGCCCGTATGCTCCCCAAAGCAGCTCCTGTCTCCCCAAGCACATAGGAGGCTCTTGTTTCTGCCCTGGTGTCCCCCCACATCAGCTCCCACACCAGCGTCTCCTTTCTCCTTAGGCTTCCCAGTGACCACAGTGCCTCCAGAGCCACCAGCCATGACCATGCACGTCTTCCTGTCCCCGCCACAGGCTCTGACTGCCAACGAGACGGTGCGTGGGGTCCTGCTGCAGTGGGAGCCCCCAGCACAGCTCTCAGTGGCACTGAGCGGCTACGCACTGGAGCTGCGGCAGGACAAGGGCGGCTGGGAGGTGCTGGACCGCTCCATCCCCAGCACCAAGACCCAGGTCCTGGTGCCAGGACTCATCAAGGTGGGCATCTTGCCAGGTGCTCCCTGGCTGTGGGGCAGCTCGGGGGGAAGCAGCAAGGGAGCAGGTCATATCTCCTGTGTTGCTGCTACCCAGAGCTGGGGCACCTGATGATGTTGCAGAGCTGCTTGGCTCAGCAGCTGTGTGGGCTGAGGCTTGGCTGGCAACCGTGCCAACAAGACTAATGTTCCTCTGCTCCCCCAGGACGCCTTCTATGAGTTCCGACTGGTGGCCTTTGCTGGCAGCTACATCAGCGATCCCAGCAACACGGTTAATGTCTCCACAGCAGGTAAGGCCTGGACTGCCACCCACTTGCTCTTTAAATCTGAGGTGTGAAGTGCCCAGTATGGGCTAGCATCTTCCCAACTAGAAGCCCCTCCACACTGCTTCTACCCCCAAGTGTCCCTCCTGCAAGACCAGGGTATGCAGCAGGACCCCTAAGGCTAACAGTGTAGCAACACCCACCTCTACATGTGGGTCTGGCTTGACTTCAGTCTCACAGATGAGGTAGCAGGAGAGCTCTGCATAGAGCATCCCTGCACCCAGTGCCTGGCAGTGGAGAGCACGGGTCCACCCAAAGGCAGAGCAGTCCCCAGGGGTGAGAGCCAAGGCTTGGCTGTTTATCTGTGGTGCTGGTGACATAAGGGAGGCCATGCTTGCCCTGCTGGTGTGCCCCATGGGTAACCAAGCCTCTGATAGTGTCTCCTATCTGGCCCAGGCATGGAGGTGTATCCATCTCGCACGCAGCTGCCAGAGCTCCTGCCACAGCCAGTGCTGGCTGGGGTCATCGGGGGAATCTGCTTCCTCAGTGTGGCCATCATCTTCAGCACCATGGCTGCCTGCATCATGAACCGCCGGCGCGCTGCGCGTGTCCAGAAGCGGAGGCAAGGTAGGAGCCAGCTGGCTGGGTGCAGGCTCGTGTGTCCTGGGAGTTTGAAGTGCTGTGTGCAGGGCGGCAGGATCTGGTGCCCAGGAGGGGACAAGGCCAGCCCAAGGCTGGGAGGCTCACTAGGGGCAGTAGTAGGGCTGAGTGGGTGCCACTGTCTCCTCATCGTCACTTTGCCTTGCTTGCTGTATGATTCCCTTGTGTTCTCATGACCTTCCAGATCCACCACTCGTCTTCTCCCCCAGCAAGAAGCTTCCACCTCCACAGTAAGTCATGCCATACCACACTCCCTCCCCGTCTTGCTGCGCTCACCATCATTTCCTCACTGCTGTCCAAGGGGCCACTGGCCACACCCCACAATGGGCTGAGGCCTGGGCACAGAAGAGGGGTCAGGAGCTGGGTGCTGTGGTCAAGGTGTGCTGTGGGACAGGGCTACTTGGGATGCTCTTGTTTTTCTGGGGAGTTTTGGCTGAAGAGATGATCAGAAAGCACAAGAGCAGGTCTGTCAAGGCAGTGGTGCAGGGTCACTGCACCTGCTGCCAGATGCCCAGCACAAGCTCTCCCAGCACAGGGGCAGCCGGACAAGCCCAGAGTCAGGACAGGGCTGTTGCAGCAGCTCCCTTTTTCCTTACAGCACTTCTCGTGGCTCTAGTAGCCCAGACAGCACCATGAAGCTGAAGCTGCAGCCATCTCCCTACCAGAGCCTGCGCCGGACACTGCTGTGGGGCGAGAAGGCTGGCACCAGCCTGGGTCTCAGCATTGCCGGGGCCGGTTCCCGGTACACCATGTACGAGAGCCATGTTGGGGAACACGTGCCCCTGGAGCGGATCTGCCGTGGCCCAGATGGGCGCTTCGTGGTGGAGACCAACGTGCAGCCCCAGGAGCATGGCTTTGAGGCGCTGCCATATGCTGAGCTGGAGTCAGTCCCCCCGCAGGACACCCTGGGGCTGCAATCTGAGCCCTACCTCCAGCTGCCCCCAGAGGAGGAGGAGCCCTTCTGGCGCAAGAGAGTCTCTCTGCGCCCCCAGCCCACAGGACAGGTCCGCCGGGGGGCCCGGGCTGGCTCCCGCCAGGGCCGCTACTTTGGCTATGGCAGCAGCAGCCCCGTGGACGA